ACAGGTGTCAGGAAGACCCTCCAGCTGCCATGGGCAGAGGCAGGGTGGCTGTGGCCACCTGTCCCTGGATGGATCAAAGGTGAGTGTGGGTGAGAGACCAGAGCATGTCCTGGGGAAGGAGGTTCCGGGCCCTTCCAGCCTCCCTCCCGGCCCACAGCATCACAGGGCCAGCTCCCCTCTGGTCTGCCCCTGCCCAGGGTCCCATGTGGCCTCCAGCCAGCAGTGGCTCCTCCCAGGCTCCTAGGGCCTCCCACTCCCTCCCAGAAGCTGAACTGGGCACCAATCCCTCTGTTCCTGACCGCTTCCCTTGCCTGGGAGCCAGCTTGGGCCTCCAGAAGCCAGGAGTGCCCATAGCAACAGGTCCAGACACCACCAGCCTCCAGCAGACAGCAAAGTCCCGCCTTTTATATGCAAATAACCCAGTGGGACCGGGCAGGGGGCTCCACCCTACCCCCACCCAGTGCAGACTTGGGCCTGGCAGTGTCCCTGCCTGCTTTCCCCAACCCACACCCACACTAGGAGAGCCTGCTGGGAGCTGGGCCTGCCTTTGTGCCCAGCTACCGCCAAAGGGAAGTGGGAACGCTGCAGCAGGCACGCCGACCATTTCCTGACCTCCTAAATCCCACCCGAAGGCACACACATGCAGCCACCCCAACACATCTCCACGGGCACCCCACGCCCGGCCACACTCTGGGGTTTCACCTACCCCAGAAAATGGTGGTGGGTGTCCTGAAAGTCCTGACAGGTCCCTGTAGTGGGAGAGGTAGGAATAGGGCTCCTGGAGGGTCAGCGCCCGGGGCAGACGCTGCACTGTCCTGGACACCTGGCAAGGCTGCCCCACCGAGACCTCTGAGACCAGGGAGGCCCCTGACTCCACAGCTGCAGTGCCCAACTTCCGGTCCACATGGTGGTCTCTGTGTGATGGGGGGGGGGGACACGGCCAGGACCCTGGACAGAAGCCCCCAGCCTGCACAGACCTGCCCCGGAGCCCAGTTCCCAAGGAAGAACCTGCTGCCCTTGGGGGACCCGGGAGAGCTGCCGTTTATTGGCACGAATGTCAGGGAACAGCTGATATGTATCCTCAAGAGGTTAGAGCCGGCACTGAGTGGGTGAGCTGGGAACAAAGCATGAGGAGAAGGGTGAGCTGAACATGGAGGGTTGCGGGGGCTGAGAGGCAAACACGGCAGCCTGGACGCTCTGCGGGGCAGCAGACCAAACCCACGGCAGTCTGGCCCAACCCGCAGAAAAGGGTAGAAAGCCACCAAAAGCGGGAAGGCAGGAGTGGAGGAGAATGGATCCCCCAGGACAGGAATTCCCTCAGGGAGACAGACAGGACACAGGAAACGCCGGGAACTGCCCTCAACAGCGAAGGCCTCTCGCAGGGCTGTGAGCGCTGCCTTGGAACCCGAGCTTTCTGCCCGGAAAGCAGCTGAGACCTGGCCACACTGAGGTCTGAACCCTGCTGCCCGCCGGGCTGTCCACATCCCGGAGGGGCTGGGTGTCGTCCATCCACAGCAACCTGCCGCCCACCCTTCGCCGCTTGGGCTGTAGGCGCTCTTCTACACAAGGAACAGCTGGCAGCTCTTTTAACAGGATGCCTCACTTCCCCGCTTCACCTGAGAGCCTGCAAGAGTTAAGCCCAGCTCTGGACTTCCTTAAGGAAACATCGCTGGAGGTTCCGGGACTTTCAGAGATGATTTGTCCCCCAGGCCTCAGTGTCCCCACCTGTAACCTCGGTGTCCCCCCAGCACTGTGGCCCAGGGGCCCCTGAACCGCCCTCCAGGGCACAGAGTGAAGGGCAGGTCTCGTTACCCTGCAAAATGCAGAGAGCAGCAAGTACATTCAGACGGATGGTGGCCTAATTAGGGTTCCACAGAGAGTGAAAGCACTTGGAAAAGGAAAAGTTTAACTAAAGGCATGTTTGAAATACCAAACCCATCAATTGCAAGCGTCAAGCTGGCAAGATGTGCTGGGGGGTGGGGTGCCTCCTCCCCAACCCGACACTGGTGAGAGAAGGGGGGCCTCGGGCGTCCCCCCAGCACAGGACCTAACTCGCAGGGATGGGCTGACGATGCCAGGCGCCCCAGCTGAGGGCCATGCTGCAACAGGGGATGGACGCCCAGGGCCCGGCGAAAGGCCACTTAGCAGCCCAACCGCCCAGGTGACAGCCCAGGCAGGGGACGAAGCAGAGCCGGGGAACAGCCTGATGCTGACTGTGGCTGCAGTGGCCGCTAGAGGCCCCAGGGAAGAGCTGAGGGGTGCAATGAGGCTGGTGGCCAGGGTCAACACACCAGACGGCCGCTGTGGGCCTGCAGAGACTGCCCAGCGTGGCTGGCCCTGCTGCATAGCCATGCCACCGGCCGTGAGTCACCAGGGCACAGGGCGCCCCTGCACTGAGCCCTGAGTGCAGCCCGCAGGGCCAGGTCCAAGCCTGAGGCCTGCCTGGGGGAATGTTCCTCTTCCTGCCCCAGCGGAGCAGCACGGGCTGCGGGCGGGAAGGGGCTTGGGGCTTCCCTGGGGCTGTGGCTCCTGCCTCTCACGCTGAGCCCACAGGAGGATGACCCAAGAGTCCAATCATAGAGGCCCCAGGATGCCTGGCTGAGAGTCGCTCACAGCCGAGAAGGCGGCCGGCCAGCAAAGCAGGCAAGATCACCACAAGGCAGGCAGAGTGGGCCGCCAGCCCCAGGCAGAGACACAAACAGGACATGTGCACATACCCAGCCTGGTGGTACCTGTTCGCCCCCTGCAGCATGACACAGCCACTTGGGCCAGGGACAGCTGCGTGGGACAGCCCATGACGCCACATCAGGAGATCCACGCCCTCCCTGCAGGGTGGCGCAGGGACATCCCCTCATAGGGAGCTGTGTGTTCACAAGCCGGATGCCAAAGAGGGGCCTGGATCACTCTGAGGGGCCTCCCTTTGGTTACTGTTCTCAGTAACCAAAGATGCTCCGACAGACTGTGAGGCTCAGGGAAACCAGGGCAGGATGTGCGTGGGCCTGCACACTGAGTCCCGGGGAGGAGGCCCCATCGGCATGGACAGGCACGAGCCTGCAGACTCAGTGCGCAGGACGACCGCGACCTCCGAGAACAGAGACTGGCCAAGGGGAGGCCCTGACACCATCTTTTTTAATGGGGCCGTGGGCGACCGCTACAGGGACCTTGAACCTGAGGACACAGAATGTCACATCTCCTGTTTCTGGTGACAGAAAACGTCAGTCAAGAATAGTTCAGATACAACCACAAAAAGAAAGTTCAACCCTCACCTCACGTTCACATCAGTAAATTCTAGATGGGTGAGCCCCCAAGTGTAAACGCTAACGTGGAAACACCTGCAGAAAAGACAGAGGTGCACTTACCCAGCCATGTGGCAGGAGGGCATGTGTGGAAGGACTAGAAGAAGAAAAACTCCAGATTCCAGCACAAAATATGGAACATCTCTGGACACGACCCCCGTCATGAGCAAAAATTAAAGGGCCGAAAAGAGCCCACAGCCGCCATCAGTCAAGGAAGAACTCACGGCTGCCCTGACGCAGGAACGCGGCCCTGGGAAGCCCCGTGTGGGCCTCAGAGGTGCAGCCGAGCTCAGTGACCCCCCGCTTCCTCCTGGCTCCCCCTTCTAGGGGAGCCCCGCCTTCGTCCCTGTCCTTCAGTCCACACCAGCACTTCTCTCTGTGTGCTGCCCTCTCAGCCAGGCAGGGGACTCCACAGGGTGGGGTGGGGAGCTCGGCCTAATGCGGTCACAAGGTCTGGGCAGGTGCTAAATGGCCAGAGGTGGGTATGGAGACACATGGGGGCTTCCTGTCTGCCCTGGAACCAACTCAGTCCCAAGGCCCCCTCTCCACGCCCCTCGGTGTGGGCAGAGCAGAGATGGTCCCTCTGATGCCCACGGCAGATACGAGGGCAGGCCAGAGACAGGAGAGAGAGGGGCCCAGAGTGAAACAGAGGAAACCAGGACCACAAGGCAGGGAGGGAGGAACAGGGAACAGACAGGAAGGAGTGTGGCCCCTGGCCCTCTGCTCTGTCTCAGAGCCCTGGACATAGGACACTCAGGCATCTGGAGGCTCCTGAGTCTGTGGCCACTGCCTTCTTGCCACCACCCAAGTGCGGCACAGGCAGGGGCAGGCCCTCCACACTGGATGCTCAGGGATGCCGAGCCCCCCGAGGAGACGCTGTCAGGTAGGGCAGGGGCAGAGGACCGGACTGGGGAAGCCACCACATTCTGCAAATCAGGCATCGCAGCAAACTGACAGCCAGGGCCAGCGGGCATACTGCCCCCCACATAAGGTCCCAGGGGACACAAGCACCACTCAGCCTATGTCCATGCCACACTTCCCAGGCACCAGACCTCAGTGCTGCTGGCGCTGTGATCAGCAGAGGAGCCCACAGGGTGGGGCCAGCACCCAGGGCCCTGGCTATGGTCAGAGAAGTCACAGCCCCTCGGTTACATGTTGTTCATGGCTGCTCCCCCCACGCCATGAACTAATGTGGCCGTGTGCGCCAGAGACCACAGGGCCCACAGAACTAACTAGTTACTATTTGGCCCTTTCAGACAAAGCCTCCTCCTGGCCTCAGTGCCCTCCTCCTGGTACCTGGCATGTAGGCCCATCACCTGTCCCCACTGGAGACTCCAGCCTCCCCAGGGCAGCAGGGACCACCCTGAGCTGAGAGGTTGTGTGACACCAGGTGTCCAGGTCAAGGAAGGTGTGGATCAGCCCCAGCGAACGTCCAAGTGGGCTGCCCCCACCACAAGCTCATCCCTCAAGCCAGGCGTCCAACCAGTGTCTGCTGTCCCCACACCCAGGCCCCAGTGAATACAAGCAGGTGTGGCAGGAAGGCCCAGGTCCAGCCCTGCCAGCCCAGGGTGCTGTGCCCACCCATGGTGAGGCTGACCTGAAGCACACACCACTCAGGGCCTTCCCTCCGTGGACCACACTGCCCGGCCCACCACCTGTGTGTGAGGAGGGGCTGGACGTCCAGGCCAAGCTCAGGTCACCTACCTGTCTTGAGGTGAGATCAGCATGTCTGGACACCCATCCTGCCCGCTCCACGTCCTGCAGGGAACCAGAGGGTACCTGGTGAGGCCAACCTGCAGGGCTAAGTCTCTTCTAGATGAGGCCAGATCCCCAGCTAGGCACTATTCTCCCTGACCCGAGGGCGTCCCATCGTGCCCTGGACACAGACACGCTCCCACCCAATGATGTGTGCTCACCTGTCCCCAACCCACTGGCACCATCATGTCTGCAATTTGCATCGGCTGCCAGAGTCCCTCCTGGGCATTTCTGATGCTGTTAACTATACTTCAAAACCCTGACTGCTCAGAGCTGTGAGCTGACCATAACGTCTTTCCCCCTTCCAGAAGGTTGGGTGTGCTCCATTGTGATAAACTCTTACACCAGGGTGCCGTCGGCCTGGGCAGGTGGTCATGGCCCCCAGAAGTCTGCCCCCCACCTGCCCAGAGGACAGGCTGCCTGCATCTCCAGAGGCCAGCCCTGCTCTGTGTCCCTCCTTGGCCAGCAGCCCGCCTCCCAGCCCTGGGACTGAGGACCACGAGGCTTCCTGTCATGGCTGATGGCCTGGGGACACGTCCCCTCTCCTGGTATCTAGGCCTGGGGACATCGCCAAGTTAGCCTCGTTAAAATGAAACACAGCAGCACAGACAGGCGGGAGGGTCTGGGCTGAGGCTGGGAGGCCATCTCCGGGAGATTGCAGGGGTGGGGGCTCTCTCCCCTTGGCTCTCCAGTGTTTTCCAGATTGTTCCAAGCCTCAGTCCAGTCTTCCTTTGTGGACGTGGCTCATTTGGGGGCCTGAGGGGAGGGCCTTGAAGTCAGGGTGGGATCATGGGGAGAAATCAGGTCCTGGGCCAAAGGCAAGAAAGACCCCCTCCCCCGAGGCTGGGAGTGTGCGTGTGCATCAGGGGCTGGGGGGGTGTGGTTGGGAGTCTGCAGCCCACTGCGCCTTTCCACCCAAGGCAGCAGCTGTCGCTCTGAGCCTGAGGTCTGCGGCTCAGGAATCAGCTTTGGCTCAGAATATGTTTCTGGGACACCTCACATTTTGGCTTAAGTGTTCACATAGATCTCGTCCCACGCAGAACTACGTGCCTTTATTAGCAGTCCTGATAACCGCCAGCCTCTCCCCAGTGTTGGCTATACCCCATCATCTCAGTGACTCTCACTAGGAGCCTGGGGTCAGCCTAACACCCCATTTTACAGATGGGGAAACTGGGTCCAGGCAAGGAAGCACTGGGCCAGGATTCGAACTCAGGTCTTCCTGCCCCTAGGACCCCACTATTCACTCACCCAGATGGGGATGTGCGCCCAAGGGAAGAATGTGGCTTCCACCTTGTGGGACTCCAGCAGGCCCAGAACTCCACAAATGCAGAGGAGGGACAGTAGTCAACACCAGTAAGTGGCGGGGGTTGAGGGGAGGGTATCTGCAGGGCTGCAGCAGGGAGGGGGCCAGAGGGAGCTTCCTGCAGGAGGAGGAGGGTGGGAACAGGGGACTGGGAGGGTCTGGGGCATGCAGGGTGGTGATAGGACCTGTGGCAGGGTCTCCGTCCGCAGAGCGTCTTGTCTCAGCAGAAGCATATGGATGTGGGGGGTAGGGAGGCAGAGCCTGGCAAGAGCCCTTGGGCAGTGGACAGACAGATGGACAGGCTTGAGATATGAAGGTACAACCAGTGATGGGATTTGTGCCGAGAAAGCAGGGGTACCTGTCTTAGGTAGCCCTTCTCAACACCCTCTCAGAGCTGGTCTGCAGGCTCAAAGGTCCCCTGCTTGGCCAAGGATCCTGCACCAAGAGCCTTGGGCCAAGGGAGCCACCACCCCTAGCCTTGGAAAGCCTGCTGTGTGTTCGGACTGGGGCAGGAGCCCTCTGCAAGGGCCAGCCAAGAGCCAGAACAGCAAGCTTGGACCACAGATGTCTGATGGCTTCAGGAAGCCCCCATGGGCACAAGTCTGGAAGAGGGATGGGGCTCAGGCTGGGTGGGCTGGGTAGGCGGCTCGGGGCTCTGGTGGGTGATGAGGAGCCCAGGTGGGGGTCAGGCAGGCCTGCAGAGAGCTTGCCCTGCACTTGAGCCTTGGTCCTGCTGCCCCACTGTAAACCCAGGCCGCCGGTCACTCTGCGGACATTGTGAGAAGGCACCCCTGTAGTTGCGCTGTTCTGTTTACAGATGACACTGAGGCAGAGAGGCACAGCCCTGTGCTGAGTGGCTGGCTCAGAGATCTCACCTGGTCCCCTGGATAGTGGCAGGATGGCCTATGGGAGCCAGAGAGGCGCCTGGGGCACACACCTGAAGGAGAGCCCTCCTCCACTGTCCTTGCTGGAGCCTGTGCTCCACCACCCCGCCACCCAGCCCTTGGGCCGCCAGGGTGGTGAGGGCACTGGGGTGCTGAGGGCCTCACCCCAGCGACCCTTGTTCCTCTCCAGCTCCCCATCCCAGATAGGGCCTGGAGAAAGCAGAGCTGTGGCTTCCCAGCGGGTGCCCCAGGAAGCGTCCCCACCGCTGAAGGAGGCTGGGTGGAGCTGGTCTTGACGGGCATGGTGGTCCCGGGTGCCCTCTGGTGGCCGCACTCAGCTGGTTGCTGCTTTGCTAGAGACTGCCGGCCCCTCAGTGTCCACTGGGGCAGTGAGAAGGGCTGTGCTTCACAGACAGACAGACAGACAGACACAGACACACACACAGACACACACACACACACACACACACACACACCCTTGGGTTGGGGCGTGGAGGGGGATCCACATGGGTGATGTGAGTGCCCACCAGCTCTGGGCCCCTCTTACTGACCTGTGAAACAGGCTGAGCTGGGCAGCCCTCCCAGTCAGAAAGGCCCAGGAAGGAATTCCTCACCCCATGTCTCCCTGTTACTCTCTGATGCCGGGGCTCCTGCATAGGGGCCCAGACTTCATCCTAGTCTTGATAGAAGCTAGTAGCAAAGGGACAGATGCCCTCCTCAATCTGAGCCACTGCTAGGGAAGGTCCCAGAACCCTTGTAGCCTCCCTGGCATCCCATAGCACTTGCCCCCAGGACCACCACCCCAGCTCTGCCCCCTCCCTCCCTCTGCCAAGGCCATCCCAGGTCACAGGGCAGATGTGAGGGGCTAGCTGAGGCTCTGGCATTCCTGGTGTCCTCACCCAGCTGTGCTACGGTTCTTGGCTCCTCTTGGAGGTGCAGGATCCCACTACCTGTGGTCCCTAGGCCTGTCTCCTGGGGTGAAGGGGATGCAGTGAACCCACCCTGAACCCCTGTGCAGCACAGACAGCTTCACCCTCACAGAAACTAGGAAGTACAGAGGGACCCCTGGGACTGAGAAGAGATCAGAGGGGCCACCTCAGGGGGGAGGCATGCAGCCCAGATTGGGGGGCAGCTCTAACCTAGCAGGACTGAGGGCTGGTACCTGGTCAGCAGGCACTCCTGTCCATGTAGGAAAGCCCATAAGGAGAGCAGGCAGGGCTGGCTGGGCTGTGCTCATGTGAACTACTCCCCAGGCCAGGGCTACAGCTCTGTGCCTAGCCCTGTACTGGGCACCTGGGGGCCTGAGACTAGAGGGCCTGGGGCGGCTGGGGACAGACAAGGTACTCTGGATGGGACGGAGCAAGGCTGGGGGAAAGCACAAGTTCCAGATTTATAGCCCCACACACTGCTCGGGAACTCACTGGCCATGGGTCCAACACTGTCCCAGATCCAGATACACTGAGCACAGGACAGGTGGGACCTGCTGGGGATGTGCAGACCCCTGGCAGCCTGGATCTGGGAGTAGAGGCAGAAGGAGTCACAGTGGGTGGAGGCTTCCAGTGCTGACCCACTGTCTCCCCGGGTTACTCTCCGATGCTCCCTCATGGGAGAAAGTGCCCTATAGGTCGCTTATCATTCCAACCCCCTGGGTTCATAAATCCTGACCTGGCATGTGCCCTGCACGGTGACTCAAGTGACAAGGGTAAGTGGTGTGAGTGGTGGCTTAAATGAAAAACCTATCTTAAAGAATGAAGGATAGTTCTTTGCTTTCCTTCTTCCTGAACAAGCCTGGAGTCCTCGAGCTCCGTTTTCACTGTGACACGTTATGCAGAGGTTAGAAATGGTGACATATTGTAAGAACCCAAGATTTAATTATTTAAAATGAAAATACGGAAACTGGGGATCTCCAGCCGCCCGCCCGCGGTGACACCGCAGCAAATCCGGGCCGATTTCCACTCCAAGTAGTGGGGATGCACCTCGGCCAGCGGCCCACCGACGGGGTGCCGGGGGACAAGTACCCAGGTTGAGGTTCCGGGCAGGGACGCTAGGCAGCGTCTCATCCCTTGTCCCCTGGGCGGTGGGAGCAGCGCAGCCCAGCGACATCCCTTCGGCTGGGCCAGGCCCGCGCTTCCCGGCGGCGCGTCGCCCCAGCAAAGTTCCCCCGCCCGGGGTCCCTCTGGCCAAAGGAAAGTTTCTGTGGCTGCGCAGCCCTGGCTCGAGATGCCCGGTCGAGCGGGGCGGACACGACTTCGGCCAGGCCGAGACTGGAGGGGTGCGCGGAGCGGGGCGCACAACCGGTCAGACAGGACCCGAGGCCGCGCACAAAGGGACCCGCCCCCGCCAGTCTGGGGTCCGCGCACCGCGACGCGGGTAAGGTGCGGGTGGGGCAGGGCCAGGCAGGACCTGGGACCCGACTCCAGCCCGGACCTCGCCTACCGGCCCCTGCCTGGCCTGCAGTCCCGATCCCGGGTG